ACAACAAAAAGAATAATTGATTTTGTATGAGAAGAGAGAAAAGAGAAATAAACGGATCGATGATTTTTCGAGAGATGAAAAAAAGGAAACGACTTAGACCTAGGTTTTTTAATCTTTATAGGAACAACTTCGTTAAACCAATTAGTCAGAATTCGAGTTCTGGGTTTTAATGGAACCAACATCTGAATTTGTTTTATTCTTCTACTTAACGGTTTATGTGTGTAAACTAAAACAAAACCACATTTACCAAACATCAGTTTGGTCAATTCGGTTAGAAATTTGGGCTCAAACCTAGGAAATACTCTAAAAGAAAAATTAATTTCTCATCGCCTATGCTAAGTAAGTCAATTTATTTTAATAAGTTGCACAAATATCATGTCGTGTGCATAACTTTCAGCCTGTTATCTATGTTCGACACTGTAAAGCAAAATCATAAAAGAATATTAAATAAGATAATTTTATTATAACTTTTACAAGAAAATTACGAAGTCTTATTTAATGTCACTAATACTGCAACGACATATAAATCTTGTACAACTACGAATATACTTATTCCTTCTAAAACAAGTTTTTCCGCAGTTATAACAAAAACCCATTACGCCTTGACGAAGAGAGTGTCCAAGATATATATCCACTAGAATTTGCTTGTAGGGCTTGCTGATGGATTGTCAAGATATGTTTTCTCTTCTAAATTATCTTTTTGGATAATTATTGAAGTACCTATAAAATTTCCAAAACATATTTCAAATTATCAAATCAATATTTAAGAAACGATTATATATATATATATATATATATATATATATATATCTTACATAAGATCCCAATTAAATAGATTTAGACTTACATGAGGAAGAAAGGACTAGAAAAGTTAAAAACAAAATAATTGTCTTCATTCTTTATGTAAGATATAATAGTATCGAAGAAAAAATATATCAAAAGAATTATTGTGCAATCTAGTAGTTAAAACTACATAATGTCATATTTATATATATTTTTATTAATTAATGTGTTATGAAAGAATTATTTTTCTAGTAAACGTTTTATTTTGTTATAAATGAAATTCAAGTAAATTATATACTCCTTCCGTTTCGAATTGCATGTCATTTAAAGTTTTCTCATACAAATTAAGAAAACCAATAAATTTTTTATTTTTTCCATTATTAATATGCTTTAGAATTTTCTTTTGGGCAAAAACAATAAAGTAGTAGAGAGAAAACATGAAGTTTTTCCAAAAATCTGCATTGAAAATCTAAAACGACAACTATTATGAAAAATTTAAATCCTAAAACTACAACTATTATGAAACAAAATTTAAATCTTAAACGACAAGAGGGACTAATGTTTTAAAATAATGGTTTCATTTCTGAATTATTATATTTTCAATACAACATTTATTAGTTATAACTATACATTTAATGATAATTCTTAGGTAAATGTCTTAAATTTTGGTTTCTAAGATTTTTTTTTAAAAATGATTCTTATTAAATTTACTAGGACTATAATGTTATATCGACGTTAAGAAATATATTTAAATTTTATTACATGTGGTGATATTAAATATAACGTCAAGGATGTAAGACTATATATATAGGCATGAATTAGTCACATATATATATTATGTGTTTAGTATTCGAGTATCCCCGAATAACTATAGTCCTAATGTGAGGAGAATTTGATGGGATTGCAATGGAATAGCCACAAAGAGATTACGTCGCTAGATTATAAAAGCCACATAGTTTTGATGTGACATAAGAATCAGTTACTAATTATACCACGGGATAGTTAGTAACTTAGGCTCCGAATGGTAACTGCGTTTTGCGGTACGGGAGAAGTGCGGTATTACAGTGCGGTACGGTTCAACTGCGGGACGTGCGGGAGAAATATATTTACGGGACAACTGCGGTTTGTATAAAATAAGCGGTACAAAATAATATTTGATTGGTGAAAAAGTTATTTGCGGGACAAGTGCGGTTTTTTATATATATATTAATAATTAATTAATTTTTTGTGTTAATAAATAAACACTAACAGATATTTATATACCATTAATACACAAATTGATCAAAATATAAATTTAATTTTTAAACATACATATTGTTGAATCTGTTGAATAATTTCATCATAAAAAAAAGTACAACACATTAAAAAGTATTATCTATTACTTTGATTTTCCCATAACATATTTGCAATATTGTCTCTTATTTGCGTCATATATTCTCCATCTCTTATCTACGTTGCTTCTATGTCATCTAAATCATGCTCAAAATCTATGTTGTTTAGATTAATATTAAAGAACAAACATTTTAAATATATTAAACTTTAAATACTGAACTTTATTTAAATTAAATTTTAATCATATATATATAAATATATATTTATTAATTGCTAAATCAATTTAATCATTAAAACAAAATATAACATAATAAAAAACTATTATCAAATACTTTAATTTTATAAAATTTATTTGTTATTCTATTAAAATGAATTTTTTATTTTAAGATTTTAATTAAGATATATAGTTATTATAATTTAATATATAATTATTTAATATTAGTATAGTATTTTAGTGGATGTATGTATAGTATATATGGATGTATGTATAGTATTTGATTTAAAGTAACTGAATATTTTTAAATTACATAATAATAGAAAATAATAGTTAAAATGAAAAACACACTCTAACCCACATCAAAAAGAGTGTGGAATGTTTACAAGTGCGTTTTCTAAGAAAACAGAACAAACAAAACAAAAAATCTGCACTATTTGGACAAGTGCGTTATTGCACTTTTGGTATTTCAATAATTATCTTTTTCTTGAATGGTAACATGTGTGAAAATCTGTACCGCACCCTCCAAATCCGTCCCGCATATATGCTTCCATTCACTGCTTTAGTATCATAGACATATATGGCTAGCTAGCCAAGAAGTCAACATCATGGCTAATAGTAGCTAGCCATGAAGTCAACACATGGCTAATAGTAGCTATACACTTGCCACATGGCTATTCAATGTTTTTTTTTTTTTTTTTTTTTTTTTTTGGCTATTCAATGGTTAATCCATGAAAGAAACTTGTAGTGACTCTTTCTACCAATGTTGGCGGTCCATTTCATGGTGGTCGTTGTAGAGGTTTACGCCGACACGGTGCCTATTAAATGCCTTTTTCGTTGATCGTGAATCTGTGATGACAAAGAAACTTCACAAAGAAACCTATCACTTGATGTCTAGACCATCTCTAATTTAGGCCTTCTGGCCAAATTATAGTCCATGACTCCATGAACCAACATGCCACCATCAACCATAACTTCGTGGTATAATTTTATATGTGGGAGTTCAACTTTGTTTCTTTACCCATTATCTTTTTTTATTGCTTTCTTTCCTCAAAGTTTAAGTACTGGTTCTGTCTATACAAATTTTTTTTTTTTTTACTTCGTTTCCATAATAGAAGTGTTCAAAAAATCGCTCTAGGCTCTCAAATTAACTCAGCTGAATTGATTTTTCTTATAAACAATGAGAAAAATCAGGCATCTAGTCCAGACGGTCTAATTCAGCCAAAATCGGTCTAACGGCTCCAGTTTCCGGCTTAGCACTTGGTTTGTCTATATTTTATCTCAGACCTTTGTTTTAAATTTATATCTTAATCCATTTTGGATATTTTCTTCTACTTTTAATTAATTTTTTGGTATCTTTTGTGAAGTGTTGGGCTGTTGGCCAATATCGAGGCGGACTCCCTTGCTAAGTTTGCGTTATCAGTGTATATGAAAAACATTGATCAAGTAATTTAAGTATTTGTGTTCCAAAATAAAAAGATCTACTTTTTTGATCATGATAATTATTTTTATTTTTGCATTTTTATAGTACTCTCATGGTTGTTTTAGAGATTCTTCTATGTTGAATTTAATTTGGATTTGAATTCTGATAGTTTTAGTGTTCTTTCATTTATTTTATTTTTCGAAATCCAAAATATAACTTATAAGCATTTATAGTGATTTCTAAATAGGCACCTTTAAATTGGGAAGAAGCCATTTCACCATAAAAGCAAGAATGTTGAGTATGCCAAATGATTATATAAGTTTTAAAATACTATAAATATGTAAATAATCTATTAACACATGTCTAGTCTCCGCATAGGCGTTAAGCCCCCATCGGGCGTCTACTTACCAGCGTCTAGTTACCGCCTAATTATTTTTTGAACATTACATAATAATATGTGCAATGCATAGCAAATGAAGACATGATATTTTATAAAATAGCAAGAGTTTATGAGTCATATAGAAAATATTTTAGCTAATTTAGATGGTTTTATACAAATTTCCTATGTAATTAAAACATTGAAAGACGCGTAGTTTTTCCTACTAAAATTATTTATCTATGTAGATTTCTAACATATCAAAAAAGGGATATAGCATAAATTATATATATTATTATATTTATATACATATGTAATTTATTATCTTAAAGTTTGATATAATTGTTAAGTGTGTTAAATATTGACATGCATACGATGATAGTATATATCATCATGATACGAATACCACAAAGTTAGTTTTTAGCCATTTATTTTTATACTAGGATCGGACCCGGACGTACGTCCGGGGTTATGATAACATAGTATTTTCTGAATAAGTAATTTATGTCATTAGGTTGTGTGTGTTTGTTTGGAAAACAAAATTTGGTATGACTATGTAAATGTGATTATATTTGAGAGATGACATTATTGAATAATATGGTATGGTAAATCAATCTAAGTAGTATTTAAAAGATGTATGTGCGGGGTTTGAATAGATTTTTACTCCGAATTTTTTTTGTTAAGATTGCAAAAACTATGGGATTATCCTTAAATTATTTTAAAATATGGTAGTTAATGACACTACATTTTCGGAAAGTAGTATATTTTGTTAACTTGTTGGTTGTTAAATTTGCGTAACACATGGCATTTGAATTTAAATCTTGCAAGATACCCGATGTATAAAACTATTTTCTCGAAATATATAAATACACGTAGACAATCCTGATTCCGAATATGTAAACCGCTAATGGAACGGATTAGAACACTATCCAAACAAAACCTTATTAATCTCACGTTAAAAAAAAATTAGAAGCTGATTAGGTGTGTTTGGATACACCCTCTATAGTAAGGGCAAAAATGGAATGTTTTTTGAAAAACTATAGGCTAAAATCGTTTTTGTGCTGCCGCTTTAATATAATAGATATTTTATCCAATGCTTCCTAATTAATAGTATAAATCTACACTATTAATATCATAAACTTTTATAGATTGGTAACATCGTTGATAAATATTTCTCGTTGCAAAATTGTAATATCGTTGATAAATATTTATAATTTTAGTATTTACCAACCCGCAAATATTTAATTTTATTTAAAAACATATTATTTCTATTATTAATTTAGTTTAGTTGCTAATAATTTAACGTTTACATCTATACTATTAATTGTTTACATATTACGATTTGACAAAAACAAAATATTAGATGGAATGTATGTCGCATATTTTTTTGGCTATGTACTTAATTTGTTATATTTGGTAAATGAGAAAATATCGGAATATATTTATAACATAAATATTATTACTTAGATTTTACTGTTAAAATATTTTATATTTTTCAATTAATGACATTCGATTTATGTTGAATTTTTTGGTTTTATCTCTAACAAATTGAAAAATACAAATTTGATTTATATTCGAAATAAATATATATTGATGCTGAATATTCATTTATTATTTAATATTTAATGTTGTTTCCTTTTTTATTTTTGTAGACAAATCATACCAAAAATATTGACGAAGCAAATCTCGGAATATATTGGATAATTTAATCCCGTTATTTGTTTTTTTGCAAAAAATTAATGAAGGATCCGAATCAAATATATTTATTTAGTTGTAGTAATTGTTTATTTACTAAATTGCCCATATAAAAATTCATTTAGTTAATCTTAAACTACCCTCACAATGTTGTAGTTCACAAAATGCTTCCCAATTAATAGTATAGATAACTTTATTTAGTGCATTAAATATTGACATATTCTTTTTGATTGGTTTCCTAAATACTTTTTTTTTCTTATATCGACAGGAATCGACCCATGATTTATTGAAATCAAACTCGGCTCATGCAGTCATATGGATTTTGGGCTTCATTGGCCTTTGTAATCTCTTTACTGTTAGTACGTTTTGATTTCTCTTTAGGACCCAAAAAAAAAAAAAGTCAACTCTTTACGCAGGAGAAAATAAAATGAGACTCATCATCTCTCTCAATCCCGAAACAGAATCGATTCATCTATTAGTCAACTCTCCCTTCACAATGGGTATACCTCTCTAATCTTCCTCATTTCAATTTCAATTTCGATAATAGAAATGAAATAAACTGAGTAATGATCAAAACCCAATTCCCAGATTCTTCTTGAAGTTCCATTTTAATGTTGGTAACAGATGATGAAGAAGCAATGTTGCTGCTAAATGAAGAAGATGAGGGAAGAGGAAGAACTAGTGTTCCTACACAACTCATGAAACTAAATCGAACCCATTGGTGGATTCTTGTCTTCATAAGTATCTTCTTCCTCATCTCTGCTCAAGCCATTGGTGTTCTGCTTGGTCGGTTTTATTACAACGAAGGTGGAAACAGTAAATGGATCTCTACTCTTGTCCAAACATGTGGCTTTCCGATTCTTTATCTCCCGCTTTGTTTCCTTCCTTCTTCAAAATCTTCTTCTTCATTTTCTTCTTCTTCTTCTTGTTCTTTCAAGACTCTGGTTTGGATTTATCTTTCTCTTGGTTTTGCTATTGGTTTAGACAATCTTTTATACTCTATTGGGCTTTTGTATCTCTCTGCTTCAACTTATTCGATTCTATGTGCTTCGCAGTTAGCTTTCAATGGTGTCTTCTCTTATTACATCAATTCTCAGAAAATCACTTGTTTGATTCTCTTCTCAGTGTTGTTTCTCTCTGTCTCTGCTGTGTTGGTTTCTCTTGACGATGATTCGAATAGCCCATCAGGAGATTCTAAGTGGAGTTACTTGGTTGGTTGTTTCTGTACAGTTCTTGCTTCTCTTATCTATTCTCTTCAGATCTCTCTTGTGCAGTTTTCATTCGAGAAGATTCTCAAGAGTGATATTTTCGCTATAGTTCTCGAGATGCAGATCTATACTTCGCTTGTGGCTTCTTGTGTTGCGGTTATCGGGTTGTTTGCAAGCGGGGAATGGATGTTGTTGAGTGCGGAGATGGAGAAGTTTCAGGAGGGACAAGTCATTTATGTTTTGACTTTGGTTGGGACAGCGGTGTCGTGTCAACTGGGTTCTGTAGGATCCATGGCGCTTATATTTCTGGTGTCTTCGCTGTTTTCAAACTTTATTGGTACACTCTCACTCATTGTTACGCCTCTTGCAGCCATTGCCGTGTTCCACGACAAGCTGACTGAGGTTAAGATGGTCGCGATGCTCATTGCCTTCACGGGATTCGCGTTTTATATCTACCAGAACTATCTTGATGACTTGAAAGTACAAAGAGCACGAGAAGCTCAGGCCGAATGATTTTATTGAACTCTACTAAAGAAGCTCTAAAGATTGACATTGAGTATTGTTTCTCGGTTGCATGTAACCGCTTCTTCACAACCTCTTATAAAAGTGAATTTTATTTTTGGAGACACCATTAAGAAAATGATGTTTTACAATGTACAAACCCAACTTGAAATTAGATGGTTAGTGAGAAGTGTGTGTTATTATATATGAAAAAAACTAGATGCTATCCCGCAGTAGACAGCGGGTAAATTGTTTCTTAATTTATTTTAGAAATTTTGTATGTATTAATTTTTCGTAGTTTTTGTTTAGTTTTTGCAACAAAATATACTTAAATTTGTCGTTAGGTGTTAGTGTATTGTGGGTTTGACATATAGACATAATTTAATTTTTATAGCTAGTTTGTTTTGCAGTATTGAGTCCATATGGCATCGTAGTTTTGTAGCATTGCAATTAGTATTCCGAAATACAAGTAGCATTTTCCAATGGCTATATATAGCTACTGAAACGGCCATGAATTAAGCAGTGGCCAATATGGTTCTATAGTTTTCTAGAAAGCCAAAATGTTTCTAAAGCGATCCTCAAATCTTTAAATGTCTTACTATTTTTACTTTCGAGAGTGGATGGATTAACGAATAGATCCAATAAATTGTCTAGTAGAAGAGTCAATAGAGGGTATTAATGTGAATGTCTCTACATGTACTTTACAATATGCTGGATACAACCAACGAATTATAAGGTGATATTCTGGTTGAAAGTTAACACAATTTCTCGAATTACAAGGATAACACAATTTTTTACCCTCTATAAATACACAAATTTAGTAAACAAGGGGAGATATGCGCTTCCAGAGCGCGAGATTCCATGATTTTATAGGATTTTGTGCAATAAAAGCCAATCAAATTGTCAGTTTTTTCAACTTTACCTTCCACCTCCAAAAAAGCAGATTAATCATATGAAAACAAAAAAATACACAATACAATCCTTATACATATATTATAAACGTTTTCACGGTTACATATATTTAATTTTTAAAATTCTAAAGGTAGAGCTGAACTCCTCGTCGCGAGGGCTTCGATTTGACGTATTTTTATCAATATTTTACAAACTTGACAGTTGCGAAAAATGGTTATATTGCGTATTATTTTTTTACTTCATAGGATTAATCTGCATATTTTGGAGATGAGGGGTAAAATTGCAAAAAATAGCGACTTTGAGGGTTTTTTTGCACAAATTTTTTTTTTGTTTTCGTTTTTTTCTTGGTACTCAAATTTAACTTGCATTTGTTATCACAGATTTTTAGGATTCCTCATACCAAATCGACAAAGATGATTCTTAACACTCTCAAATCTACCAATAAAGCGAAAGCTGCATCTAGCAATACACTCGTACTATAATCGTTCAATTCATATCACCTTGAACGAAGGAAGTAAATTTTATTTCACTATATATATATATATATATATATATTAAAATTTTGGTTATGACAAAAAAAAAACAAATAATAATATAGAGAAAAACAAATAAACTTACTAACGGTTGGGTGCGCTAAAGCAAAGACGTCTTAAAGCCATTTTTGTATAAGAGATGCTCCGTTAGTTCGTCAAGGAAGTATAAGCCTCGGATATCCTAAGTATATCTACTTTCGCTCTTTCTTGGATTTCTCATGGCTGTGAAGGATGGCTCTCTTAGTGTCTGCATAGGTGGTCGTTTTTATGGGAAAAATATCTCGTATACAATATTCACCTTAATGCGCCTTACAACGATAAAAAGGTTCAATTCCGAAACGTCAACAAATATATCTCCTTTCTTCTTATTTATTTTTAGCGTCAAAGACAATTGTCGACATTCTTGTAAGTTGTAAATATACCTAGATGAGGAAAGCTGAAACTATGTATAGGTTGAAGCTATATATAAAAATAAACTTTACTGATATATAAATAAACAATATACCATTAATATGATTTTTAGGTAAATTTACTAAACTTTGTCTTTTATTAACATTAATGCTATAGATTTATTTTAATGATGGATTAATGTTAATCTCCGTATTTTCCTCTCAATTCTTATGTTATATCATTTGATTTTAGATCTGTTTGTATTAAAAGGAATTAACAAACCTATTCTTGGTTTTCAGATAATGTTTTATTTCAGAGTATGAAGCGATCTTATTGTCAGTAGATTAAAATTTTAATGTTAACCAATCCTTACAATGTTACAAAAATTGATGTTTAAAGATTAGGGTCATATAAATGTAAAAGCATAGAGGAGTAGATAATGTAAGATTTGGTAATAGAAATAGGAGAATTAGGTAAGTAGGAAAGAGAAAGAAATTAAAACCATACATGTCCTTCTTATTTTGTTTAATTTACACTATATGCCACTACCAAAAACAATGTTTAATACGAGATACTGTACACGTGATACTGTTCATCAACCTCCTCACAAAACTATTCATTTGAATTCAAGAACACTATTCACCGCCGGATTATATGAAATATTTTGTAATTTGTATGGATAACTATTTGATTAACATGTTAACTAGTATAGTATCTCGATAAATTCATATATTATTTGTTAAATATAAATTTATCGTGTTAAACCATTTAATATCATACAAATTAATAAAAAAAGATCAATTTAATATTATGAATTTTTTTTTATTATTTTTATAAAAATTATTATAAGAGATTACTTATAATGATAGTGATAACAATAATATTAACGGACTACACATACTTTTAACGTGCTAAGATATTAAATACATCATTTTATAACAAGTTACCTATATTTTTAACTGTTAAAATACTTATTTATTCTTTATTTAGTTCGGTAACTAATATATAGTACAATATTATACTTGTTAATCGTTAAGTTATAACTTATCGTGTCCATTGATGTTTCTCTTGACAAGATATTCCACATATCATCTTCACCACCATCATCAGTAATATCTTCCCCGCCATTGTTACGAGCTCACCCTGAAATTGGAAACACCACCACTTACAAGCTACTTTTACCAGTAAGAATTAACCACTATTTTACCGAATATTGAAACCACTACTCGTCTTGGATTTTGTATTTTTCGAATTGAAAACAGTTCACCTTGATCTTCATTTTTGTTGAATCAAAATTACTATTAATGATCCCACCAAAGGAGACAAATCGATTTATTGAGTATGGAGGAAGTGAGATCTAACATACCATCAATGGCAACATCGGAATGACACATGCAATTTTTCTTCATCGTCGAATCCAAACCACCACCGTACACAAGTTAACCTCACAACTCTTCAATTTTGATTCTCCAACCAGTTTCAGTTATCTACAATTTTTATTTGATTTTATTTTGTTTCTTTTGTTTCATGTCGTAAGAAATAAAATACCAGAGAAAGAAAAGAGATACAACATGAAGAGAGAGAGTTTTAGGGGTAAAAATGTCCAAAAAATGATGATAGGGACGTATGTACAGTGACCAATTGGTCAAACTAATTATCAAGTTTTCCATGTATAGATAGTGGTAATACCCTAAAGATTACACTAATTTGGAAACTCCTTCCATCTTTTCAAAGACATTGATGTCAAAAATGACTAACTTAAATATGATTCTAACGAAAAAATAACCGAAGATAACAAAAAACGAACCCAAAGTTACGTTATTATTCAATAATATAAAGCATAGTTCAATATAGTATAAAATTAATAAAAATACTAAACACCAAACTCAACCGTTTTAATTGATAAAAACATTTAATAAACGAAATACACAAAATTCATAATCGAAAAGTATTGCAAAATATTTTGGAAAACTTCATTGTAAACCATGTTACATGTTGTTTTCTTATGCTTCCCATCTTTATCGGTTACTAAAATCTTCAAACTGTCTCATGACTTTACCCTCGACATGGCAACATGTAGTTTTCCATGAGCAAAAACTGGCCGTGGAAGAAATAGTCCAACATTAGCCAATGTTTGACCTTGAATCTTATTTATAGTCATTGCAAAAGCTAGAACTACTGGAAACTATCTACGCCTCATTCTTAAACAGAAATTTCCTCTCATGCGGAGAAACAAATATCCTTGGTATCAAGACCCTCTTGCCTACAAATTCACTAGTTATAATCTCGGCCTCGATCACGTGGTCAGCTAATAGTATCACTTGAAGCCTTACAATTGCACAATCCCCCCCCCCCCCCCCCCCCCCCCCCCCCCCCCCCCCCCCCCCTTTGGGTCTATATCCCTGAGAAGCATTATAAGTGCAGAAATTACTAGATACATTCGAGAGGTGGTCTAGAAATATTTGTGAACATATCAAACCTGCTTTTAATGCTAGTCTAGATCTAGGTGTTTACAGTCGAGAGGTGGAACTTCCTGATATTAGGTTTAGTTAGTCAATACATTTGAGAGGTGGTTGGCTATACATTAGTGATTTGAGTTCTAAAACGGTTCGTTAAATAATCCTAATTAATTTGCTAGATCTGCTATTTATTTATTTCCTCAGAAATTCACTAGGCCTGACGTTTTCCCTCATCTGAATTTACTTCAATTTTATTTACTTGTCTTGCTTTATTTTTATAATCTTTTTGTTTAGCTTAATTCAAAACTTGTTAGTCTATTGTGTGAACACGAGAGCTTTGTGAATTTCGACCCTAAAGTACTGCAATTGATCTCTTATTTGAGAGAGTAGTCTTAGGTCTAATTAGACTCACATCAAATTTGGCGCCGTTGTCGGGGTTCTCTTCGCTTCACCATTAGACTAGGTGTAGAATTTAGTCTAAACTTTTCTTTTCTTTTGTTACTCACGTGTTTTTATTTCTTTTGTTTCTTGTGTTTCAGGGACTTAAGGAATTCAATCACAACAACCAGATGTATGATTTCGACGAGAGTGTCGATCGATACCACCTGGGTGTCGCTCGACACCATTGGGAAAATAGAACAGATAGTCGTCAGATGACTCTTGGTGACTACAACAGGCCTGACCTGTTCTATGAGAATCGGCATGCAATTAGACCTCCTACGTTTGAAAGAAGCGATTTAGGTCTCCAGCCTGCATTCTATACTCTTATGAGTCAGCATCCGTTTCACGGTCTTCCACATTAACAACCAATGGATCACATCGAGAAGTTTGAAGATTTGGTTTCAATCATCAAAGCATGGGTTGTATCAGAAGACTATCTACTTCGCAAGCTCTTCCCATACTCTCTTGTTGTGGAAGCAGCTACTTGGCTTAAAGAGTTGATTCCAAGATCTTTGACAACTTGGCAGCTGACAAAGATGGCTTTTCTAAGCAATTTCACCAGGAATTAATGTTCCTATTCTTACCAAGCCCACCCTCCCCCCACTTCTACGAGTAAGATGGCATCCATGCCGGAACAGATTCAAGAAAATCAGAAGAGGATCTTAGAGATATCCCCTCTTGGAAGGATTGAGGTCACCCTCATGACTACTTACCATGCCGTTTTGATGCAAAGTGAAGATGAGTTCGTTGAAGTTGAGAAGGGTGATGCTAATTTTGTGGTTGTAGAGGCAGTGTCGACCGACACCAATGCAGATATCCGAGAAATCAAGCTTTGACAAAGCAAAATCGACCTGGCTCGACACTGATTTACAGGATCACTCTACACGCAGTCTTAATGTCGACCGACACCACCTGGGTGTCGATCGATACTCCTCAAGAACAACAAATTCTCTTGTGATAATAGTCAGCTCGGGCTGAGGAAGCTGAATCAAGTGACTCCCCCTATCATCAGAGAAACTCCAAAGCAGGTTACCCTTGAGCCACTGTGCATGCTTCAAATAAGCCTCATCCATCGTAGACCTCAATGTCGAAATCTCTACCCCATCAGTGCTGATCCCCAGATGTTGGAAGATAGGGGTGAGAAGACTACCAACACTCTCGGTCTTAGTTCCAGTACCATTGAAAGGTCGATACTTAATCTTGACCAACTGATGTGCGAAAACAGCTCCGAAATTCACATTCCGGTCACACTCATCCGCCTCTGAACCTGCAACACAAGAATCACCAACAGCATAATTGAGGAGCATCACCTTAGAATGTCTCATCTTACCAGGCTCCATCTTGCACAACAGAGTGTTGCAAAGAAGCCTAGAAACATATGTCAAAGCCGGGTGTCTGATATTAGTCTGTGCCGAGTGCTTGGAGTCATAAATTCCATTCCCAAAATAGGACCAGAAATCTTGAATACCATCAAAGCGCTCGGGAAGTGCCACGTGTGGTGCATCACCATCAAACCCATAAATCTCACAAAGCTCACGCAACAGCAAACTGTAACGCACTCCTCGGATAAAGAAGCTAATAAAACCCTCTCGAGCATTCTTTACTCTCTCATTGTCATAACCAACCCTAACAGTAGCTAGGAACTGCCTAACCAACTTCGGAAACATATCATACTGCTTAGTGCATATCATCCCTAAACCGATAGCTCCTAACATTCCCCAAACCATATCCTCAATTCCCATTCTTCTCAATCAACCTAAATCCGCTACCCTAGTAGGCTTAAACACAACTTCTAACCAAGCATTGTAAAACAAGGAGTCGTAATCATCCCAATCTAGAGAAAAGGGTCGATTGATATACTCACTCTTCTCGAATTCCTTCCGAACAATCGAACATCATCATCCCAAATCCGTCGACATCGAATCTTACTTTTCCTCCAAACGTGGCCATGGATGATGAGAATTGGGAGCAACCGGTGTCTCTGGAGAGGCTGAAGGAGGCGACGCCGGCGGCTGTACAGTGGTCGGAGAAGGCAGCGGCGAGAGGAGGAAGAACCACTTTTGCCGGTTTGCTTTTGACGCTTTTTCTGCCTAGCGATCTTGCAGATCGGAGAAATTGACAATTGGGTTGGAAAGAGGATGAAATTCTAATGAATTTAGGCACTGAAATCGCAAAAAACGGTGAAGAATCGAAGATTCTAGAGAGAAAATTGCAAAATCGCTGGTAGGTTTATGTCGACTTACCTCGATTCCTGTGGTGTCAAGCGACACCAAGTGGTGTCGATCTCCGTTTTCTCGAGAACACATTTTTTTTTTTTTAAGAAACACAAATAATCAAAAACAAAATCAAAAATTAGAATATGAAATGGTTAGTAATAAAGATAAAACCAAAAATAAAAATCAAAGAAAACAAAATAAAAATAAAAATAAAAATGGATTATATACAGCTTACCAGTGGGTTGCCTCCCACTAAGCGCTTATATAAAGTCGTTAGCTCGACTCAGCGGACCGTTAGGCTGAGGGGATTTCTAGTAGAGACACCTCGTGTCTCTCTGGAATCTCGGATTTCGCCCAATAATGTTTCACCCGTTGCCCATTAACAGCAAATTCCTCACCTTTAGCATTCTTCAAGACAAGATTTCCATATTGTCGAACTGATTGAACCGTGTAGGGACCTGTCCATCGAGAAGACAATTTACTAGGAAACAAATGTAAACGAGAGTTATACAGAAGTACCTGATCATTGGGTTCGAACGTCCTGGAGATGATTCTTTGTCATGATAAGCTTTCGTGCGTTCCTTGTAAACCTTTGAGTTGTCATAGGCATGAATTCTTATCTCATCCAACTCGTTCAATTGAATTAACTTCCTTTCGGCAGCAGACTTAATGTCAAAATTCAGCATCTTAACAGCCCAGGCTGCCTTGTGTTCGAGCTCTACAGGTAGGTGACATGTTTTCCCATAAAGCAAATCGAATGGTGTTGTCCCTAGTGGCGTCTTGAACGCAGTTCTGTATGCTCATAGTGCCTCATCAAGCTTGTAAGACCAGTCCCTCTTTGACTTACCAACAATTTTCTCTAAAATCTCCTTGATTTGCCGGTTAGAAACTTTAACTTGTCCGCTCATCTGTGGATGATAAGGAGTAGCAACGCGATGATGAACCCCGTACTTTAGAAACAACTTCTCTAAAACCTTGTTAATGAAGTGTTTGCCACCATCACTGATGACAATACGAGGTACTCCAAAACGCAGGAATATAATGGTCTTAAACAGCTTAAGAACCACTACAGAATCATTCTTTGGACTAGCAATTGCTTCCACCCACTTAGAGACATAATCCACATCAACCAGTATGTACTTGTTCTTATTAGACGAAGGAAACGGTCCCATAAAGTCAATGCCCCAACAATAGAAAACTTCAACCTCAAGAATAAACTTCTGTGGCATCTCGTTACGTTTGCTGATCTTTCACTGCCTCTGACAAGTGTCACACTGAGAGATAAACTTATTAGCATCGCAAAACATCGTAGGTCACCAAAACCCAGCTTGAAGAACCTTAGACACTGTTTTGAAAGTAGCGAAGTGACCAGCATAATCAGAACTACGATAGTGAAACAACAAGTCTGGAACTTCGGACTAAGCAATACATCTCCTGTAGATCCCGTCAGAACAGTGCTTGTAGAGGTAAGGCTCATCTCAGTGGTACCGGCGTATTTCCTGAAGAAATCTTTTCTTATTGTAATCTGTGAAATCGTCTGGTTCAACATCGGTAGCAAGGTAATTCGCGATATCAGCATACCACGGAGGATTGGATGTGGCTATAGCAGCCTTGCAAGCCTCATTTGGAGACTTCGGATTGCGTGTTATCGACGAGTATCGATCGCCTGTTATCGGCGAGTGTCGATCGACACCAAGTGTGTCGGTCGACACCTCAACGTGTCTTGTGGTCGTATCGAGCTGATGGTCGACATCTTCATAAGGTGATCGACAAGTGTTCGCCTGAACGTAGGTGGTGTCGAGCAACACCCAGTTGGTGTCAGTTGACACCTTCTCGTCTGATCGGGATTCAGAGAAAACATTATCTAAATTTTCCTTCAAACATGTCTCAACCATGTAGATATTCTCCTCAAGCAGAAAATCATTGATAGGGACGTCAGCCTCAACCTTTATCCTTGACAAATGATCAGCAACTCCATTTTCAATTCCTTTCTTATCCCGTATTTTGATATCAAACTCTTGAAGAAGACGAACCCATCTCAGTAATCTAGGCTTAGCATCTTTCTTCTGCATCAAGTATTTGAGTGCTGCGTGGTCTGTATGGACTATCACCTTCGATCCAACTAAGTACGGTCGAAACTTCTCAAAGGCAAAGACAACAACTAACAATTCCTTCTCTCTTGTGACGTAGTTTCGCTGTGCTTCGTCAAGCGTCCTGCTTGCATAATAGACGGCATGAAGCTTCTTGTCTTTCCTTTGTCCTAGAACAGCTCCAACTGCAAAATCACTGGCATTGCACATTATCTCAAAAGGCAAATCCCAGCTAGGAGGTTGACCTATAGGGGCGCTAACTAGAGCTTGCTTGATCTGATTAAATGCGGTAAGGCAATCAGCATTGAAATCAAATTTCACATCCTTGCAAAGTAGGGCTGTTAGCGGCCTAGCAATTTTGCTGAAACCTTTGATGAACCTCCTGTAGAAACATGCATGTCCAAGAAAGCTTCTAACAGATTTGACACTGTCGGGTGGCTGTAAGTTTGTCATGACATCAATCTTCGCACGATCTACCTCTATACCATCACCTGAAACCCTGTGACCGAGGACTATACCATCTTGAACCATGAAGTGACACTTCTCCTAGTTAAGCACCAAATGCTTTTCCTCACATCTTGCTAGCACCTTGCAGAGATTCTCCAAGCAGTCATCAAATGAGGATCCATATACAGAAAAATCATCCATAAATACTTCCATGAAATTCTCAATCATGTATGTGAAAATAGACATCATGCATCTCTGAAACGTCGCAGGAGCGTTGCAAAGGCCAAACGGCATCCGGCGATAGGCGAAGGTACTATACGGACACGTGAAAGTGGTCTTCTCCTGGTCATTCGGATGGATCGGTATCTGGAAGAAACCTGAGTACCCATCAAGAAAACAGTAGTAGTTGTGATTGGCTAACCTCTCCAACATCTGATCGATGAACGGTAAAGGGAAATGATCTTTTCTGGTCGCAGCATTCAACTTTCTGTAGTAAATATATATTTTACGGTTATGTTTTTTTTTATAAATTACATTCCGAATGTCTTCTACGGTTGCGTCTTATTATTGTAACTCTTCATAAACAGTTGCAACCGATTCTTCGAATCATTGCAATATTTAGTTTATGTTACGAATAATTGCAACATTTGGTTTATATATTTAGTTTATTTCACGAACAATTGCAAAATTTGGTTTATTTTATAAATCGCTATAACATTTAATTATCTACAGTCGCGTTTCTCGGTATAAATTTTTATAAATTATTATTTTTAATTTTTAATTATCAAAACATATTTAAATGAGATTGTAACCGTTTAATTGAACCGTTGCAACAATTGATTTATTTGACGAATCATTGTAACTTTTGGTTTTTTTGTACCTTTGTAATTTTTAGTTTATTTGACGAACTTGACGAACCGTTACAACTTTCGGTATATCGCAACATTTCGTTTATTTTTTTAAAAACTCGAAAAATAAATTTTACATTATGTTTTTTGAGAAAGTTGCAATCCGAGTAAATGTTTATACGGTTGCATCTTTTTATTGTAACTCTTCATAAAACGGTGGGGCCCGTTTAGTTGAACCATTGCATCATTTAGTTTATTTCACGAACAATTGCAACTTTAAGTTTTTTTATAAATCGTTATAACATTTAATCTTCTACCGTCGGTGTAATTTTTCATAAATTATTATTTTTAATTCTTAATTTTTAATTACTAAAATGTATTTAAATAAGATTGTAACCGTTTAATTGAACTGTTACAATATTTGGTATAATTGACGAACCGTTGCAACTTTTGGTATATTTGATCTGTACTGCTGCGTTTCTCGGTTAAAATTCGTCATATTTTAAAAAAATATTTAATTACTAAAATATATATAAATAAATTGTTGCTACCGTTTAATTTAACATAGTAGCATTTGGTTTGTTTGACGAACCAATAAACATTTTGGCTTATTTATCAAACCGTTGTAACATTTGATTTATTATTTGATGCTTTTTGCACTTGGAAATAGTTTTTTAGTTACAAATTAATGTTTTTTAATATTAATATACTTAATAAATGTTTGCGAGGATTTTCTTTATCATAATTTTTGTAAAATATATATTGATTTATTATTAAAAAATAATTAAAATTGTTACAATTCAATATGATTTTTCATTAGATATCTATACTATTAATTGGGAAGCATTGGATAATAAATAACCTTATAAAGGGTAAAAAATTACAAATAATGCCATTACAAATTTTTGATTCCACGACTACATAAAGGATTTCGGCAAGGGGTAAAATGGAAAATAGGTTGGTACTGGGACGCGGATCTTGGATCCTTTGTCGGATATATATTCGGATAACATCGCGGATCTCGGGTCTATTCTTGGTAATACACGCGGATCCTAGCAGTCTCGATTTGTATTCATAATGATCCTATTGGGCTTACGATCAATAGGCCCAATATGACGTTTATGATTCGGATCTACAGTAATTAAAAAAAATAATAATTGGATTCAATACAATACATTTAGATATATTACCATAACAAGCAAATCTTTTATCCGGATTAGAATAATATCACTACTCTTATACTTCTATAAACAACCCAATCCTCTTCGGTTCCAATGATTAAAAGAAAACTTATTTCCTTATATTCAATTTCATTTATTAGTTTTTACCACAAATAACAAAATCCGTTTATTGAAATATTCATTTATGAATTTTACCAAAAAAATAAGTAAATCTATATATTCATATATATAGTACCAAATCTAGCATATTCCTTATCTATTCTTAATCGAGAATATTTTAGCAATTAAAGTTTCAAAAAATTAGATTCAATTGCTTCAAAATCATTCCATAACAACTAAAACTATAAATTCGAATTTTAAAAAATCAGTTCACGGATAATTCTATACAAACCAATCCCATATATTCCCTAAAGATTGAAGAAAACTAATTCATTGAT